GCATCTTCTCCAAAGTATCAATTGCTCGGCCAAGTAGTCCTTTCCTACACAAGAAATTAATCAAAATGTTAAAGGTGACGACGCTTGGTGAACACCCTTTTCTAAGCATCTCTGCCAAGAGTTTCTCAGCATCCATCCACCTCCCCGTACTACACATACTTCGCAAAATGATGTTATGTGTGATTACATTAGGTTGGCAACCATACGAAGGCATGTCATTCAAGAACTTAATTGCATCATCCAATCTGCCTTCCTTGCAAATTCCGTTGATAAGAACATTGTAAGTAACCACATCAGGCTTACAACCTTTAATCCCCATTTCATCCAAGAGCTTCATCGCCTGTCCCACCCCACTTTCCTTACAAGTGGCTTCAATCAAAATCGTGTAGGTTATCACATCGGGATAACACTCCTTCTGCAGCTGCTGATCAAGAACCTTCATAGCTTGTTTCAACTTCCCACTATCACATAAAGTACGCAAAATCGTATTGTATGTGACCACATCTGGGGCGACGCTCATTCGGTCCAAGACTCTCAATGCACTATCAATCTCCCCCGACTTACAATACCCACTAATCAACACGTTATAAGTTATAACATCAGGAACAGCTCCGGACTCTTCAAGAATCTCCATGATTCTAGTAGCTTTCTTAGTCTTTCCAATCCTACAAAACCCACGAATCAAACTCGTGCACGGGATAATATCGGGAATATCACCCCTGTAAACCATGTTTTCGAGATGCCTAAACCCTTCCTCCAACTCCCCATTCCTAACCAACCGGAGAAGATAATTATTACTCTCAAATTCCTCAAAATTGTGATTCGAATTCCCTTGACCTTGTGGATTTTTTTCCGTATTCAACAACCTTAACCTATCATTTGTACCATGAGTTTCAGTCTTTGAAACAGCCAACGCCCAATTTCTCCGTCTTTTCCTAGACCCGACCATTTTCGGTTTCTCCGAAACAAAGTTGGAACAACAAAATTTAATTCTATGCTTAATCGAGCTCTGCTTACGAATAGGATGATGAAAAAAGCAAAATCTTTCATGGGTTTGCCTTGCAGACATCATTAATTCCATCTTCAACGAATTTAATATCCAGAAATATACATGTACTAAACTATAATTTATGGGTAAAAAAAATATACAGATAGATTAAACGGATGAAAGCTTACTCTTTGAGAGGTTTAAGGTTCAGGCTCAGCAATGTTTTTTTGCTCATTTGTTCTGGCGCCGCCATGTTTCTTATCCTAAGCCATTGGATAATAGGAATTCTTGCGCTTAAAATTTACAGGTAATAGGTGATTTCTACGGAAAGAGATGAAAAAGTGTCAACAGTAATAAATATATGAATAAACGGGTTAATTTCACAATCGATCACTGAACTTACGCAAAAATAACAAAACGGTCACTGAAGTTCAAAACTTGCAGAAACGATCACTGAAATTTCATGGACTTTCACAAACGGTCACTGGAGGACCGTTTTGCCTTTAATTCAAACATAAATGACCAAAGTGAGCTAACCCGAATTTTGGATAGTTTTGAGGTGCCAACTTTGGACCACCATAACTCCGTCCCCCGGCCACTTTTTGCCACGAACCAATATACCAAATTGAAGCCCTCAATGCCCTCTTAACAACCCACCCAACCACTGGCCGTGATCCCCGTCGGAATTGGCCGGAAAATAGAGCCAAAGTGAGCTACCCGGATTTTGGACAGCTTGGAGGTTCCAACTTTGAACCACCATAACTCCATCCTCCAGCCACGGACCAATATACCATATTGAAGCCCTAAATTCCCTCTTCAAATCCCACCCAACCAATGGTCGTGATCCCATCGGAATTGGCCGGAAAAAGGATCCAAAGTGAGCTACCCACTCATAACCGGATTTTGGACAGCAAGCTGTGCGTGGGTAGCCCACTTTGGGGCTATTTGCCGGACAATTCCGACTGGATCACAGCCAGTAATTGGATGGATTTTGAAGAGGGAATTGAGGGCTTCAATATGGTATATTGGTCCGTGGAAAAAAGTGGCCGGAGGATAGAGTTATGGTGGTCCAAAGTTGACTCCTCCAAGCTGTCCAAAATTCAGGTAGCTCACTTTGGCTTTATTTTCAGGCCAATCACGACGGGATATAGGCCAGTGGTTGGGTGGGTTGTTAAGAGGGCATTGAGGGCTTCAATTTAGTATATTGGTTCGTGGCAAAAGGTGGCCGGAGGACAGAGTTATGGTGGTCCAAAGTTGGCACCTCAAAACTGTCCAAAATCCGGGTTATCTCACTTTGGTCTTTTATGTTTGAATTAAAGGCAAAACGGTCCTCTAGTGACCGTTTGTGAAAGTGCATGAAACTTCAGTGACCGTTTCTGCAAGTTTTGAACTTCAGTGACCGTTTTGTTATTTTTGCGTAAGTTCAGTGACCGTTTGTGAAATTAACCCATGAATAAACCAGTGCAAATTTTGTCAATTTATCTAATGGAACATAAATTAGGTATTTAAGTATCACCATTTTAATCATTTCAAAATTATGGACAGAGGTTTTAAATTTCAAAAATCAGGTTTTTATTAAAATTTATTTATAATTTAATTAATTATATATTTTGTTAATAAATATATAAAGTCACATATCTATGCAATTTGGTCACAATTCAAAAAGTTTAAGGTCAATTCAAAAATTTTATAGGTCACAATTCGTTTATCGATCTCAAATTAAAAATTTAAAAGTCACAATTTGTTCATCGATCACAAATTACAAAATTTATAAGTCACAACTTATTTTATGGTCACAAAATATCAAATTATAGGCCACATATTACTTTTATTGGTCACGACTCGATATAACTTAATAAAATATGAGTCATAGTCACAATTTTTTGATCACACATTATTAATTTGTCAAAAATTACACAATTATTGGTTACAATCAACCAAATAATTGGTCACGGACACCCACGTCCAATACAACTTATTTTATGGTCACAAAACATCAAATTATACGTCACAGATTACTTTTATTGGTCACAACTCGATTATAATTTAATAAAATGTGAGTCACAGTCACAATTTTTGGCTCACACATTATTAATTTGTCAAAAATTAATCAATTATTGGTCATAATCAACCAAATAAGACACTCGCGTCCATCTCATCCCACCCACAACCATCGTCACGACACCGCACACAGCACCGCCGTCAAACACCACCACAGCACTGCAACGCACACCTCCACCTCCATCTCCACCGTACCACTAGTGACCTCCGTTCCCACCACTACCAAAACATCATAGAACACACACAGATCAGCACACATACCCACAGATCGCCCACCTCCACCACCTACAACCGCACAAACAACCATCACCACCACCAGTCGCCATCACCACCACCGCCAAAACAACATAGAACACACACAAAACACACAAATCGGCACACACACACAACAGAAGCACGGCAAAACCCGAGACTCATCGCCACATCACCGCACCAGAACAGCCGATCTGCACTGACGATGCTACTGAACAAACTGCGAGGAACGACGATGAGTGCTGCCGCTCGAGGTAGATGCAGATTGTTGATGAGGACGAAGGAGGACAAATCTGTGAAGGAGTTACTGTCGACGAGGCAAAGAAAAATGGCGATAAAATGGGGGTCATTGGCGGTGGAGAGACGAAGAGGAGAAGAGGCAGAGAGAGCGACGGTGACAATAGAGAAGGTGGAGGAAAATTGGGGATGAAAATGTATAATTAATAATTAAAATCTGATTTTTTTATCATGAAACTAGATACCTTATGTATGAAAATGGTATTTTAAAATCAGGTGTAATTTCTTCTTTATCTAATTAGAACGGATCAAGTATTTATGGAGGCCCAATAGGAGAATGACCCTAGTAATATGTGCTGGATTTAGCAATTTCAATTGACTCGGACAAATTAATATTTTAATAAATATAATAACTAATTGACTCAGACAAATTAATATTTTAATAAATATAATAACTAATTGACTCAGACAAATCAATATTTAATAAATAAAATAACCTAAACTTTGTTTTCTTATGTAATAATTAATTCCAAATTGAACTAATTACAAATATGTTGAAAGCGACAAATCTTTTGAAAGTTGGATAAATTCTCAAATTACCCAACTTGACTAGGATTGATTCTCAATTTATTTTCAAATTTCAATAGCATAACGATTTATAAAGACATTCTCGATTCTGTTTACCAATAGTTGAAAGAGTACAAATTGATCGAATAAAAAAGAGATAAACACTACGTTGTACCTGACACAGTAGCCAGTTTACCGGGGTTGATCAATACATAAAAGGACATTGTTGAACTCAGTTAGTCAGTTTGACAACTCGTGAGGACTAATCCAATTGACCTGATTATTATAAAAAGAAAAAACAAAAAAAAAGAGTTGTTAATATCTATTTACCTCCTCAACACGACGACTCTTTCTTTCCAAATTCTAATTTTATTTTTCAATAATCAATTTTTGGCTAAAAATACTTATTTTTCTATGTGTTTTACACAATCTCCCATCTCTCAAACAACAATACCCAATTTTTTCCGATTATTGCTTACTTTAAATCACATCAATTTCTCAAATAATGAAAACAACTAAAACGATCAATAACGGGATGTCCGCTTCTAGTCCTAGTTCTAGTCTGAACAATATTTTTAGATGATCCAATTCGAGCCTGGTTACGCTCGGGTTTGGCCCCACTCATATTGACGCTCAACCAAAAAGTCAACTAAATCTTCATTTGAGAATCTCTAGAGGGCTAAACCCAGTTGGAATAAGTTGGGGGTTTAATTAGGTTGCATATTCTTGCTTGCTTGATTGGGTATGTTATTCAATGCTGCAAACAAATGACACTCAAAGAAAAGGATAAACCCCCTTTAGCCTTTTGGAATATCACCTTTCTTCTTCCTTAAAAGCTACATTAATTCCTACCAAAAATCCGTTCTTCCATTCACCTAATCATCTACATATCTTCATGGCAAATCCTATCTTACCAGATGGTATGCATGTGTTCGGTGGTCGGGGAGTGACCATCCTCGCAACATTTTCAATTTTTTCTCAATTTATACTGAGTTTATATAGAGTTTTTTTTCATTCTAATTCTAATAATCCCTTTTCTATTTATGTTTTTTGGTACTTAATTAGGGGCCTCGAGGTCAATATCAGATACACCACCTAATCACTATACGATGAATATTCAATTATTTTCGCAACTTGCAAAGAATAAAATCGAGCCGTACCATTCCAATGATTTCAAGGCTGGAGGCTACAAATGGTATGATACTTATGTATGGATATATGTACATATTTCATGTACTTAATTATTATTACTTAGAGTTGAAATTTAAATGTGAAGTTAATGTTTTGTGTTAATTTAAAGGAAGTTGTTGGTTTACCCTAATGGAAACAAAGACAAAGGTATTACGGATCACATTTCTGCGTACTTGGTGATGACACAAGTAGAGTCATTAATTCCTGGTTGGGAGGTTCGTGCAACTTTTCGATTATTTTTGCTTGATCAGAACAATGACAATTATTTCACATTCGAAGGTATGACTACCTACCTACTTATTAAGTGCATGTTTGAGCCCCATTTTTTTTTATATAAAAATACATTTTGAAATAGTAAATTGATAGAGAATGTGTGACTGAAAAATAAGGAAAAATTTTGAATTTGCGTATAATATTATTTTATTGAAGAATGTGTGATTAAAAAGAAGAGAAAAAATGTGTATTTTAGAAATAATGGGGACCAAACAAGCGCTAAATTGGAAATGAATTGAAGTGGATTTAATTAATTGCCTAATTATCGGATTAATTAGACTTCGAAGGGAAACGGTTTCATAGAATGAAGCTCCAGTGGGGTTTCGATAAATTTATACCTCTCAGCATCTTCAATGATCCCCAAGAGGGATATTTGGTGAATGATACTTGCGTGTTCGGGGCTGATGTTTATGTTACTCGGGAAAAACACACCGGAAAAGGAGAGATTTTATCAATGATAAAGGATGCCATTAGCTACAAACACACTTGGAATGTAAACAATTTCCCTACTCTAACCGTCAAATGCCGAGACTCCGAACCCTTCAATGCTGGCCATCAAACATGGTATACATCTTTTCTGGTCGAACTCCAACTCATCTCGACTATTTTCTATATACGGAACAATTAATACTCATGGCCTGGGTGGATGCAGGAAGATACAGTTATATCCAAAAGGGAAAGACAGTGAATCAAGTAACTTCATATCGTTATTTCTGGCATTGGCTGAGCCGGAAAAACTTTCTCCTCCTACTAAAATATACGCAGAATTCACCTTACGTATATTAGACCTTAAACATAGAGTTCATATCTCTGAAACAGGTAAATTCTTGTCTTAAATAAGTTACTTTACAAATATTTTTATGGATAGAAATTAATTCAACTTTTGATAAAAATTTCAGTTAATTACTGGTTTACTGCAACAAATTTTGTAAGAGGTTGTCCAAGATTTACGTCGGTGGGAAACTTTAATAGTCAAGCGGATCGTTTCTTGTGGAAGAACAGCTGCTTTGTTGAAGCAGAGGTCACTGTCCATGGCGTGGTTAATGCACTTTGAGAAATCGAAAAAGCCTCCGATGTAAATATTTTATTGTAATTGTACGATATTGTGAATAAGTTTCATAGTCCGAATTATTGTTTCCACAAAAATTATTATTTAACCGTTGATTGTCTATTCTTAACTCCTATTTGAATGAAAGAAATTAAACGTGACTCGACTAAGTTCCAAAATATATTAATTCTAACTCAAATTAGGGTTTTTATGTATGAAAGGAGAACGTTAGGCTATTTGAATAAGCCTGAACTAGGCGTACTCAAGTTCCTAAAAGTTGAATTAATGATCACGAAAATCCTAAGAGTGTATGTTTATCTTATACCCAAATTGCCAAATTTTAATACGCGGTCTAAACTTCTAATTAATTCTCAGTTTGTTACAAATTCACAATTCAATGTGATAATGGTCATTATTTCATAGCAATAAGTATTAGAAGTAAAATCAATATATACATAAAAGAACTTAAATACAAGAATCTTGAAAATTAAAATTAAAAGGTCATATTAGGTTACATCGTTGTACATGATATAGAAAGAAAAATGTAAGAAAATAATTGAGTTTATAATCGAGTTTTGAAATAAAGATGAAGAAAAGTCGACGATCTTGCGCAAAGAAACACCTAATTTTGAAACTCTAGTTTCTTCAATTTTTACCTTGATTTCTTCTATCTAGATCTTGAATTACGCATGCTTCCATGGGTGGATGTAGGGCCCATTTAGTTTTTTAGGTGTTAATTTTTTTTTCATTTTTTTAATGTAAAATCAATTTTTTTATGTGTAATTTTATTTTATTTTTTTCATTAGTCCGGCTTGAAATTTTTTGTAGTCCGATTTTTAATTCAGTCCTAAATCCACCCCGGTGCCTCCCCTTGAAAAGAATAATAAAATTATTTATAGTCGTTCCGTCTAAAATCAGGCACCAAATTATATCCAGGTAGAAGTTGAGTCGGAGTTGAAAAGCTGAATCTAACCCCCATATAAAACTCAATGGATCAATTCAATCCAAGGATTATAGATCGATTTTGTTTGGATCTGTTGGTTTTGTCGGATCATATGAAGTTTGTTAACATATGTCGGCCAACAAATTTGCCATCTTCATTGGGTCTGTCTGTCTTCCTTATTACCACATCACGAAAAATATGAATTTGTTGTAAAATAAAGAATTGAAGGAATAAAGAAAATATTGAGTTCCTCTTTGGTTAAAAAATCTGAATTTTGCCTAAACCAAATAGGATTAAACATATATCACAAATAACATAAATGAAGAAACGTTACACGACGAAATCTCAGAGTACGAAGGAGGGTAAGAAGATGGTTGCATCCATATGAAGAAATTGTCGACAAATTGTCAAATTATAACTGAACAATGACAAATTGTCGACAAAGCACTTGAAGAATGATAGATGATGGAACGTGACATAGTAATGAAATTTGATACTAAATTCCTATTCACTAATCCAATTGTGACAAATTAAACTTTAATGACCCAATTGAAATTTCGCAGAAAGTTCAACAACGATGGATGTAATTTCCCCTCAATTAGTCTATCATCTTGAGGCGGTAGTCTGGTAGATAATACAGTATTTCCTCCATTCTCACTGGTAAAATTCTTTTTGATTTTCACATGGTTGAAGACGACGAATCTACTCAAACCACGATTTTTTGAGTTGAATTACAAGGTCGTGTGTTCACATCATTAGCTCCTACCAAAATAACTAACAAAACCCAAGATATTCAAGAAATAACCCAAGCTAACTGTTGGAGTATTGAAACTTATATTGACAGCATGGAATTACAAAGAAAAGAAGAAAAATCAAGAATAGAAGAAAAGCCAGCTGGAAGAGATTGTTAGAATTAATTATTTTCTGTTATAGGAGTTAGTTCATTTCTTGTTGCTTTCAGTTCATATTGTTATATACACGAGCTATATAGGTAGATAGTGGCCTGCTGTAATGCGGGAGAGTGAATATTCAATAATACTAGTGGGAACTCTTCCCTCTCCCTGTGTCTCTCTTCTTCTCTTCTTTTTGCTGTAATTCAGTTTTCCATTTTTATTTTTATCATGGTATCAGAGACTCTGATCCATCTGATTAATGCTTCCGCAACACTATCTACTTGAACCACTGATGATTCTCGGTTTGCTGCACTAATCTCCTGATCATCCAACATGAATCCTGATAATTCTATCAATCCCTCTGATGACTCTTCAAGTCCTTATTACCTCCACCCAAGTGATAATCCTGGAGTTTTGTTAGTCTCTGAAATCTTCGGAGAAAACTATGTTGCTTGGAGTCGATCAATAATCATGGCCTTGACAGTTAAGAATAAGGTAAAATTCGTTGATGGCTCTATTACTCCTCCTCCCATTGAACAATTCATCTATCATACAGCTTGGTTGCGTGCAAACAATCTAGTCCTCTCATGGCTGATGAATTCAATCTCCAAAGATATAAGGAACAGCTTATTATTTGTGACATCTGCCGTTGATCTATGGAATGAATTAAGGACAAGATACCTTAGGGCTGATGGACCAAGGGTATTTCATCTCGAGAAATCTCTGAGCTGCATAAGTCAAGGTTCTTCATCAATTACTGAGTATTTCAGTTCCTTCAAAGCCCTTTGGGATGAATATATCAGCTACAGGCCATTCCTAACTTGTACCTGTGGGAAAATGGCATCATGTGTTTGTGAGTTGTTTCAGTTTCTACATAACAGACAACAATCTGACTATGTTCTAAAGTTCTTAGTTGGATTAAACGATTCATTTGCATCAGTCCGAAGTCAGTTACTCCTTATGGTTCCATTGCCTGATATGGCTAAGGTCTTCTCTTTACTGATCCAAGAGGAAAGCCAGAGGCAACTCACAAACTCAATAGCATACAATGAGACACATGCTCTAATGGCTAACCAACACCATCAGCAGAACTTCCAGCCAAAAACATTCAGAGATAAGACCAAAATGCCTGCACTTCGCTGTACCCACTGTGGTTACAATGGACATAGAGTGGATAAATGCTTCCAACTACATGGCTATCCTCCTGGGTGGACTGGACCAAAGGGAAAGAGGAAGGCTTCTGCACATGTTGTCCTTACAAACCAAGATACTTATAATCAGAATGGGGGTGAGCAACCAAAGATTTCTTTTACTCCAGAGGAATTTCAGAAATTAATGGCACTTGCTAATTCAACTCCAACAGGTTCATCACCAGCTGTGAATCTTGTTTCTGCATCTCAATTCTCTGGTATAATACAACCTTCATCATCTTTATTTTATTCTGGCTCTGTCTCCTCTACGTTGAATTCAAATCTAAGCTGGATCCTTGACACAGGTGCAACAGATCATATGATCTGCTCACCACTTTTATATCATTCAGCACCTAAGTCTATCAATACATCAATAAACCTCCCTAATGGCATTACAGTTCCTGCATCACACATTGGTACTGTGTGTCTCTTTGATACTTTATTTTTCCATAATGTCTTGTGTGTCCCTACCTTCTCTTTCAATCTACTATCTGTCTCCAAACTTACCAAGCACTCTAACCTCAGTCTCACGTTTTCTGCCTCTAATTGCATCTTACAGGACCAACAATGAAGAAGATGATTGGGATTGCATTTGAGAAGGAGGGACTTTACCACTTAACTCAGACCTTTTCAAAGGATCAGACCTGTTCGTTTAATTCTGCACCTTTTGCTTCAGCCATTACACAAAAACAATCAGACATTTGGCAGTATAGGCTAGGACATGTATCCAATTCAAAATTGTCCTCTCTCAGACACATTGAACCATCCATCACTCTTGATTGTGTAAATGTTTACAATATATGCCATTTGGCAAAGCAAAGGAAACTTTCTTTCCCTGTATCTCAAAACAATTCTAATAAAAGATTTGATTTAATCCATTGTGACATTTGGGGCTCCTTTGGGACTATTTCATACCCTGGCTTTAAGTATTTTCTGACTATAGTGGATGATTTTACTAGGTATACACGGGTATACGTGATGAAGACAAAATCAAAAGTTCCATACTTACTCAAAACCTTTTGTAAAATGGTCAAAAATCAATATTCCACTTCCATCAAGGTCATCAGGTCTGATAACGGCCTAGAATTCTTTCTAACCCAATTTTACAATGAAAATGGTATCCTACATCAAAAAAGTTGTGTGGAAACTCCACAACAAAACGGAATTGTGGAAAGGAAACACCAATACCTACTATACACAGCTAGAGCACTAATGTTCCAAACGAATATGCCTCTGAGTTTCTAGAGTGACTGTGTCCTCACTGCAACACGCATCATTAATAGAATCCCCACACCTCTTCTTCAAAACAAAACTCCTTTTGAAATGCTTTTTGATAAAGCACCCATCTCTCACATCTAAAAGTATTCGACTACCTTTGTTTTGCTTCCACATTGACTGCTGGTAGATAAAAATTCGATTCAAAGGCCACAAAATGCATATTCTTGGGGTATCCTTCTGATTACAAGGGGTAAAAACTTATGGACCTAAGCACCAATAGGATAATTATTTCTAGAAATGTCACATTTCATGAAATGATTTTTCCTTTTAAACTCCTTCCTACAAACTTTGAAACTGATACCTTTTTATTTCCTACTTCGCATCATTTCCCTGATCCTTGTTTCTTCCCTTCACGCTTACCTTCAGACCAAAACTTAGCCTCTGCATCAACTAGTGCTCACTCTTCACCTGGTGAACCTTCTACACATATTGAACATTCTACCTCATCCTCCTCACCATACACTATTGAACCACAAAGTCAGAATAGTGAGACTGCCATACAAAGTCAGAATATTGAGCCCCTCAGAAAATCCAGCAGGATTAAACGCACACCAGGTAATCTGCAGGAATATTATTGTGGTAATGTCTCTTCATCTCATTTTGCAACTCAGGCATCTACTCCAATTGATTGTCCATCAACTGCAGGTAATCTTTATCCTATTCACCATTTCCTTTCAACCAACAGGTTATCTGCATCCCATA